TCGGTCAAAAGTCTCAGTCTCACCGAAACAAAGCGAAGCCCGCTGCTAGCTAGACCCATACTGCTCCTGTCATGTAAGTACTTAGCTAGTTTGTAGAACAACGACATCCATGCTCTTCCATGTAAGAATATCACTTGAAAAACGATCTTCAAACACCAAAGAAATAGGAGCAAGTGCACACGTTGAGAAAGCTCAGCACTAGGTCCGACAATAACTAGAGACACCGACGCCACAATCTAGAAACATCTTCTACTTCTTATCAAAGCACTACTATTGATGTAGCCTTCTAGCTATTATATTTTCGTGAAAGCCATTTTGTTTTGCACCACGAAGAGACGAAAGAACCGGGCCACTTCAACATAACGGCGGGTGGCTCAGTAAACTTTCTCGTGGCCAAAAATAATCAGAGAAAAAGATGCCGCTCCTCGAAGAGGCATATGCCGAAGCAGCTCCGCTCATGGAGAGCGACCCTGGCCACGGCGGTGGCCACAGTGGTGAAATTCTTGCACTTATGCCGCGTAGCGTCAGCTTTTCGATCTTCAGCTACAAGCATACATACTCCTGCTACTTTCGTGATGGTTCCACTTAGCGAGAACTTCCACGCGGAAGCTTATTATAGCCTGTAGATCTTTATCCATCCTCGGGCTTCAGAAGTAGTGCCGATGAGGCCTCGGCGTTTGCGCCTTCTTTGTAGTGTGCCCTTCGGATGGGTTATCTGTTTTTACTACAGATGTTTCCTATCCTCTAATAGAGCAAGTGCTGGCGGTGGCGTTTTGCCTGTCTGGGCGTGCGATGCTATGCTGATGAGCCGCGCGAGCGTGATGAGCAAGCAGACCAACTACCACATCAAGAAGGTCTGCGCCTTGTTGCTCTTGCTCTTGGTGTCTTCGATTGCAGTGGTAGGCCCGGCATTCTTGGCGAGTCTATTGGTGGCGCCAATTATGGCTCGAAGCTGAAAGCTTACAATCCAAACTAGTAGAGGAGTTATTTGCTATTTAGATAGACTTGCCCCATCAATAAGCAGATGGGAGGCTGGCTCTCTTGATGTGGTCTTCGCGAGTGATAACTAAGATGCTCGGGAAGGGAAAATGGGCCCTCTTCTTGATCTCTCAACTTGATCTGATAGATGAGCGTCAACTTTCTGAAGCCTCCACCTCTTCTAACATACGTGGCGCCGCGTGCGATGGTGCAGCCGCTGGGCTTCAACATCCAGCCACTCGCGCTCGTCTTGGTCGCGCTTTTTCTACCTCTGCAAGCAACGGCTCCGCAATGAGCACCGCGACGGCGATGGATGAGCTGAGCTTCGTCGACCTTAGGACCACGGAGACAACCCCAGCCAAGTTTGATCCTGGAGCGGCCCTGGCGCGGATGAACGCGGCCGCTATGACTGGCGGCTATGCAGCTGTTCAAGAGGTTTACCTCCGAGAGTTAACTCATGACGCCCAGTCAAGCGTCGACGTTCTGGCGACTCTCTTCCGCAGTGGCACAGATCCGGCCAATCTAAACGGCCTTCATGGCGTGTGCAATCTTCTCCCTCTACGGGTTGACGGGGAGTGGAAGGACCGGAAACGGAATGGCGGATCGCCTCCAGGAGTCCGCCAGAACGTAGTGTCTGCTGAGGTAGCTACCATACACCTTTCTGCAGATTCTTGCACGGTACAGCCAGAGCAGGCCCACGACCACGCCAACGGGAACGGCGTCAAGGTTCTCGAGGCCCTCGGTACTACGATGGTTTTCTTCGACGAAGGTGCCAGCGCTCGAGAGTGTTTCCCTGGGCATTTGCGTACGTGCAAGCCGGTTGCTGATGGGGCTGTTGAAAACGCTGTGGCGAAAATGGAAATGGCTTCATGCTTGAAGGACGAAACTACGCAGGCGGGGTGTGAAAATGACCCGAATTTCGCGCGGGAACGCGACGTCGCGGTGCAAAGTCTTTACCGCAGATTTTCGCCCCAGCTTCAACTTCGAGAGAACGTAGACGTCCTGGCGACTCTCTTCCACTTTGGAACAAATCCGGACAATCCTCAAGGTGAAGGCGGCGCGTGCACTGATGTTCTTCCTCGCTGGTCGTCTCGCATGGGATGGCAGGACCAAACAAGCGGATCGGGCTCAGGATACCAGGAGATCGAGAACATAGTGCCTGCAGGGGTAGCTAATATGCACTTTTCTGCAAGTTCTTGCACGGCACAGCAGGAGCAGACCCCCGAGTTCGCCAACAGCGTCAAGGCTCTCAAGAGTCTCGGTGCTGTGATGGTTCGCTTCAACGATCAAAGCGCCCGCGGTGAAGAGTGTTTCCCTGGGCATTTGCGTACGTGCAAGCCGGTTGTTGGTGAGGCTGTTGAAAACGCTGTGGCGAATATGGAAGGGATTTCATGCGCGAAGGACGAAACTACGCAGGCGTCCTGTGCACGTGACTTGCGTATCGCGCTGGAAAGCGACTTCGCGGTGCAAAATTATTACCGCAAATTGTCGCCCCAGCTTCGACTCCGAGAGAACGTAGACGTCCTGGTGACTCTCTTCCGCTTTGGAACAAATTCGGCCAATCTTATAAAACAGAAAGGCGCGACGTACGATTTTTTCCCTCTCTGGTCGGAGCATGGCAAAAATTGGAAGGACCAAAATAGCGGATCACATTCAGAAGTCCCCGAGGTGGAGAACTTAGTGTCTGCTGAGGTAGCTAACGAGCACTTTTCTCCAGGTTCTTGCACGGCACAGCAGGAGCAGGCCCACGATCGCGCCAAGGTTCTCAGGGCTCTCGGTACTACGATGCTCAACAGCTTCGCCAGGTGGGGTGTCGTGGATAGTTGTTTCCCTAGTCATTTGTTTGCGTGCGCTCCTTTTGTTGCTGGCGCTTTTGAAAGGGCTGAGGCGCAGATGAGACAGGAGCCAGCAGACAAAGACAATGCGCGAAAGGCGTACCGAGCTGCGAGTGGGATCTACACAAAGGAGCTAACGGATGAGCTGAGGAAGCGCGACGAGATTCGCGCAGATTTCTTCCGCATTTCGCGTTTTGCAGTAGAAATTGATTTGGAAACATTTGATTCTGACATTGATATCGGGTACGGAGGCTATCCAGATGTTTTGTGGGAAGATGAAAGCTTCGTGCGGTACGCGATGATGCAGGTGTCATGCTCGAAGAACGAAATGACCGCAAGAAGTTGCGCAGCCGACGCAAATAGATGGGGACACGCGCTTGGGTTACTGAAATCAATCTATGCATCGAGGGTGCCGACGCATCTCCAGAAGAGTGTCGACATTTTGGAGGCCTTCTTCCGCTTTGCCACAGGCTCGGCCGCGAATGTCCGGCACGAGAAGGCCTGGCTGTGCGGTTTTCTCCCTCGGTTTGATGGGACCTGGCGCTCGTTCGGGTTCGCCAAAACGAAGATGCCTGTGGAGATAGCGGAGCGCTTTTTTGGGAATAGCCAAGACCAGTGCGCCAGGCCTGATCTTGATGCCGTCCAAGTCCGAGCTTTCGCTGCTCTTGGTGCACAAATGCTTGGTCAGCCCGAATGCGTCCCGAAACATTTGCGGATCTGCCCGGCGGTCGTTGCTGGTTTGCTTGCTGCCGATCCCACAACATCCGCTGAGAAGTGGAGCACGAAACTCGCCACTGAACTAGGATCCGAGTCCTACGTGACAGAAGGGGAAGTTACATCGCTGAAGAACGATCCGCGAGTTGCGGTTTTTGCACTGCCAGGTCTTGCCGACGGAACCATTAGCGTCAGCGAATTTACAAGAATCGCATTACTACAACAAGACTCGACTACGCGTGACCGCGCCGTGTGGGACGCTATGCTGATAATCGAAAAGGGGCCACTGGACACCAGGCAGGCCAAGGCAAGCGCAGTCGCAAAAATCGCACGGGGGGCGATGGAGCTGAGCAGAGGCGTAGATGACGCTAAGACCACAACACAAGCAGACGGTGCAGGGTTCTGGCTTCGTGCAGTGAAGCATCATAGGATGCTCACTTCCTTAGTGCTGGACGTATTCGGGATGTGCGCAGCAAGTTTGCTCCCCTTTCAGGCGGTCTCCAAAGTCATGGCAGAACTTTCCCGAGGTGTCGCAATTAGAACGACCCTCGCCGGCTTGCTCGTTGATCCCGTAATATGCCAACCGGGTGAAGGCTTTGACTTTACACCATTGCTAGCGGGAGAAGGGAGGAAGAACGAAGAAGAAGGAAAAGAAGAAAAAGCGGCGTCGACTGATCGCGCAGCCGCGGTGGCAAGTCTACAACGTGCGCGGAGCAACATGGCAAAGAAACTAGTCTGCGCGAACCGCACGCTCGCAGAGTTGGACGGAAGAAACCTCCTGCCAAAAGATCTGCTGGGGGACGACGATTTTGCAAAATTTTTAGGCAACGTCGCCAATGAAGACACGACTAGGAGGGCAGAAGCGTGCCGTGGCTCAGTAGTCAACACGGCGTGAGGAGGTGGTTGGCGTCGAAGTTGAGGTGGTCGACGTCGAAGAGGAGGTGGCCGACGTCGGAGAGGAGGTGGCCAACGTCGAGGAGGAGGTGGCTGACGTCGACGAGGAAGTGGTCGACGTCGAACAGGAGGCAAGGTTGGTTGCTAGTAGTGAGCAGAGCAAGAAGTCGGATGGGTGTCGTTAGTAGTGAAGAAAAGACCGTGAGCAGGGGCGTCAATTCTAGGAGGATGGTGAAAGGGCGGCCAGCAACGTGATTGCCTGCCGTCGTTCAGAACCTACGGGAGAGGAGGGAGCTCGTACCATGATGAGATAGCAACTCCGTTGAGCTTGAGCTTGGGAGACCGGGTTGCGGTCGTCGCCGCGATGAGATAACGTTAGCAACTTGGCTGTGGTGTCATGATGGTGCGACGACTATAGCGCCATCGCTTTGGTGCGGATGCTATACATTGTTTTTGCCGTGCGTGACTACTTAGCTGATACATAGCAGCGGGGCTTTGCTTGTGCTATGCTGTATTCATCGTCAGAACAGACGCGGAGGCTGAGCTTGAGGGCCTTGCTGATGTTGCGTTCTGAAACATTGCAGCGGAATAGGTGCGCAAGTTATATTTTTAGAGTTGGGGCCTCAGCTTCTGGAAGTAGTGAGCTGAGGGAAACTTTGAAACTCAACACGATGAATGGCGTTTCTTTGTTGCATAGCCATAGTAAATCTACTCCTCGACTTGGACGTAGTAAAGACCTAGTGATCTCTTGTCTCTCTTTCTTCATCATCCATACAGCTACCAATGATCCCCCACCAGTTCCCGGCCCATCTTTGGCCCAAGCGTCTTGCTGCTACCTATTTTTTCGGTCTAGTCGTGAGAGGATGAAGAACCAACTTTTTTGCCGGAGACTCGTCTTCGCGGAGTCGCGAAGCAAGCTATCGATGCGGAAAAATTGCACGCTTCCTTCTTCGTCTCCTTCTGCTTCTCCTTGGTTGCTGCGTGGTATAATCTTCTACCTATTTTCAAAAACGACTCTTCAGAAGTGTCTGTCCTAAAAGTTTGCGTGCTTGGGCTTGGTAATGAGATGAGTGTTTGTTGCTGCATTAGTATCAAGATGATCACTCACACTCAGCTTCGTTTTTAGTACTTATGCTAGATGAAGCTATATCTTCAAAATTTATCAACTACTAATCTTTCTCGTCAGGTTTTGTTATTTCTTTTCGACGCAGCGTGGTGTCTCTTGCTCACGGTGCCTCCTTCCGACGGCTAAATCTTTACGGGTATCTACTGGCTGGCTAGTGGTTTTTGGTGTGCTGGAAGCAATGGAAGCACAGAGTCGGCTGCTGTGTTTTTGGACAGTGAAATTGTGAAACAACAAGAGACGACGGACTATGGAGGTGTTACAAACAAAAGACGTCGTTGACTCTGGTTTGCGCATTCCTTCTGGGCGTTTGTCATTGTTCAATTACGGGCCATGACAGTCCTTATTGTTTTCATACTTACCTATCTCTATCAAGGTTGGCATATTCGTGATTGTCATACTTATATATTTATCATAGTTATTTATCGTACTTCTTATCTATCATTGCAATGGTAACTACATAGATGCCATAAGTGTCATGCTTGTCAGTCTGTTGCGTTTTGTTTTTGAAGAAGACATAACTGATCGCCCAAGTCCGCACTTCTGTAGTATCGTCTCCAATAACGTTTTCTTTTTCAATACAGTAACTGACGTCTGATCACCAAGTAGTAAACCGAGTCCGTAAATTCTCAAACTGACGACTACAACGGATGTCCAATCATATTGACACACAAGAACAAGAACGCTGGTGAGTAGTTATTGGAGACTGCTAGTTTTGATGAATGGCCTCAGGAGCTGCAGGAGGCTGAGGACGAGACGACTTCACGTGATGGAAATATATGAACAAAAAGCAAAAGGCGTGGAACGTTATGACCAAATAGCAGTCTATGCCGATCTATCTCGCCCCATTTTCAGCATCGCAATAATTTCAGAAAATGTAGTGGCTATCTCGTAGTTATAATTCCAAAAAAAAACATGAGGCCGCTTGGCTTTCTGAGCTAGAAAAAAGTAGTTAGGCCACTAACGGGCGAGTAGCAAGGCTAACATTAAGTTATTTCGTATTTGTAGCTTTCTCTTATTCTTCTTTTATCTATTAGTATTATCGGAATTACCTACGACTGCTCCTGCAGGTGTAGACGCAGAAACTTCGCGGACAGAGTAGCGGGTAAGGCCTCAGGAGTCATAAGACCTCGCAGAAGGTAGATGGGTCAGAAGTGTGCTTAGTGTGATTGCCTGCGGCAGTCGTGTTTAGTCTCCTACGCAGTATATTGATGGCTGCGCCGAGTCCGTAGCTTATGCAATATAGCTCCCCAGTTTCTCTTTATGTTTGGCTGCTGTGCTACTTAATTATGCAACTGCGGCAACTCCGTAGACCATCAGCGTTAGGCCATGCATTCCTCAGGCACGCACTATTCCTGTGGCCCTTGAGTAGGAAACAAAAATAAACGATATGACTGCCCGACTCTTCGTGGTCGTGCCAGCGCTTAAACTAAGCCTCCCTGTCCCCTGTGGGCGGGATATGTAGTTTACAACTGCTGCGCTTCAAGTCTAGTAGACCGCTACTTGTCACATGGGAAGATGGGCACTCTGACTCTTGCACTGAGTAACAAAGGTCCTTCACCTTAGGACATGACTAGGTCTACAATAACAGCAGTCGCATCTACTAGTCTTTCGATGATGTCCTCCAAAGACTATTTTCTCTTCTTCAGTGCTACTGGTCTTGCGTTGTCTCGTAATTAAGTAGTAGTAAGTTCTCCGTGGTACTGTAGTGTAGTACAACAACAGCCCAGGATGGGGCTTACTACTACCCCTACTACCACTACGGCTACAACTACTATAGGGTAAAAAGAAGGTGAGGAGCTGCCTGCAGTCATGAAAGACCTGCAGGAGTCCACTTTTTCAAAGACTTCGACCAAAACGATGTAAAGGATATTCTTCGGGGTATAATGATGTAAATACTAGTACTTGCGCGAGTTTTTATGTGAATTCGAAAAATCATCAAGAAAAGATAGAAAGCTCATGGCCTTCCCTAGTCAACAGCAGAAAACGCCTGAAGGGTTTCTGCGAAGCAAGTACCTTGTCGATATTTCTAAAGTGTGGATCTTCCTTGTACAATCATCATGGTGAGGCCATACTTTTCATTTTCCATATGTTGTCTAACTATTTCTAGAAGTGGCTCTATTGGTGAAGAAGCATTTTTTATTACACAGTGAAAAAGATTGCGTCTCCTTGTAAATAGTGCCGCATTGATTTAGAAGATGGCGCCGGAATATGTTGGCCTTGACCAGAAGCAGCGTTTCCATTTTTTTGCTAGAAGTATCAGCCATTCTAGACTATTTTTTCAAGTGCAAGTGCTCCAGTCATTCTTGATCGATCTTGGCAGTAGTTCAGAAGGGCTACTTGAGCTGCTATAATGATGGTGAGCGCTCCTTTTCAGGAACAGCGCTCACGATCGTCCTCTGATCGAGAGGTGAACTCGGGCGCTTTGCTGTACAGGTGTTATTTTTCAATAGATGACGTCTTTGCGTAATAAGGCTGGGAAGTACACAGGCAAACTCGATGCCATCATCATCATAATTATCATCGTCATTTACATTCGGCATATTTCTGGATATAGACTCTTCTGCAACTCAAACTCTCGAGATGTTACACGCAACTTCTGCATCTGCGCTGCACGTGGGTGACTTTGATAAAGCCAAATAACTGGCGGCAGTTGTAATAGCTACTATTCGTCGTGTGGGAAGAACAAGGACATCGTAGTAACTAGTACATCCGCGACACGAGTAGGCGAGCGCCAGCTATAACTGTAGACAGTCATCGCCCGCCAGATTTCCTGCATGATTTGGCCAAAATTTGACGCCCGCTGCCATTCATTTGCGCTCGTTTGTAATTTAGTCGCACAGTAGTGGCTTTTTCGAGAGGGGGCGTTTCTGCTAAAGAGGTGCGGCGTGCCCTTCTGCTCAGAAGTGGTCATCTCGCGCAGTGGGACTTGGGTGCATTGTCCAGAAGATGTCTTGTTGTCGATGATGCTGTTGAGGATCTTGAAAAATGAATTACACCAACTAGTTACTATGTTAATACGTGGGGTTTTTAGTCTGACCATTTTGAATCGAATTCATCTCAGTCGAAAAATTATTTAAGGATCAGTATCAGAGTACTAAAACTAAGAGTGTTGACGTTGCTACGTGATCACTTCTTTTTATTTAGAAGTATTTACTATTTCGCTCGAACAATCTCAGTCAGAGGCTCGCTTTGATTTAGAATTTATTTGAAGGCTTCAATAAAAGATAGCAAGGGCTGGAGGGAGTTGGATAAATCGTTATCATATGGAGAAGCTCGCAGGGAAGCTGGGTCTTGGTAAGACAGGGCCACCATGGCTCTTCTTTGAAGGTACTACAGCACTGGATTGCCTCATTGGTAGTTAGCCATAGCAATAGCTCCATAAGAGGCGCCATGACATGACATGAGCGGCAGTGTCTGACTGACAGTGTCTGGCTGATAGGATGCATCAAGAATAGTCCTAGTTCCTACCTTGGGCAACGAGCTCACGTCCGGAGATCTGCACCATCCAGGATTGTAGGCACTATGTTGATGCTTTCACAAGGACAGCGCTCCCTTGCTGAAGTGCAACTTTCTTGACGAGGTGGGCTCTCTGTCTGCTCTGGTCACATTTCTTGCATAAAGTATACGAATAGTTATAATTTGCTCGCAATATCCAGCCATCCATATTGATTCATCATGGGCCGCCCGACAGCTACTGCCTCGTCACCGATCTTTTTTGACATTTTGGTGAGCGCTAGTAGTCGACGCCAGTCAGTTTCTACGGTCATCATGAAAGGCAGCGCCAGGAGCTTAGAGGGCACATAACTTCCTTGATATATGGAGATGGAAAGGTAGCAGAGTAAATGGGTGTACTTATGTTGAAGATTGCGATGTCTTTCTCCTCCGCGACCTCGTCGCATTTATGACTAAAGTTCGAACTAACATGAAAAACAAAAATCGAGAGCGCGTTATTAAAGTTTATGTTTGCTAATTATTCAGATTTATACTTTTCTCCGCATATTAAGAACCACACTTATTAAGTAGCCTGTGGCTGTTTTCCTAGCAACTGGAGGCAAAGAAATCCCAATTGTTGTATAGCTAAGCTATGTCCCCAAGATGAAGATGGACGCAGGTTCTTTCACCAAGCCCGTTGCCTTATTAAGACACTCGTACTTAGGTGAAGTAAGTCAAGAATTGTCCGCGCGCCTCCTGATTTATTCAACTGATGCATCCATCCTCACCGAAAAAAATTGAAACGAAGTTTCTAGTTGTATGGGTTACCTACTACAACGGTACCCCATGAGTCATGGGTTTACTACCTCATGAAGGGGTTAACTAGTTGTGGGAGTTCTCCCTCTAGCCGAAGTGGGGCTAGTGCTCCTTCTAGTCCCCGAGGTAAAGCTAGAAGATGAGATGGCTGCGAGTCTTCAGTTGTCTACCCTTACTTTCTCGTAAAGGAGGACGGAAGCTTTCTCTTAGACGAGGGTGGAGGAAGTCGGCAATTATTCTTTTGAAGGTCGTAGCAGGATAGTTAGCACAGAAGAAATAGAGAACTAGTTGATATTGCCATGACTAGGTCTCCTAGAACTGCTAGTAAATAATAGCAGTTTGTTGTAGATTCAGCATCATTTAGGAGAGAAGAGACGCGCAGACAGTCGCGGCGGTGGACCAGAGCCCGTGGCGCTCAATCGTTCACTGCCTCGATTGCGTTCAATCTCACTCTTCCAGAACTACTACTACCAATGTAGTTTGTGCTTCTAACTGCTTAGAAGTCCTGAGGAGCATGGCGCGTGCTAGTATGTTCTACTATGAGTGATCATGATGGTGCTACCTCATTTTCATTTTCTTTCTTTTCTAGCTAGGGCTCGACTGGGGGAAGTCTTATGTGTCGTGTGTGAAGTTCTTCCTTGGAAACTTGCAACTACAATGGGGATGCTCGCGTAAAACGGACAGAGAGCGACTCGCTGAGTAGGATTATACTTTGTTACTCATGTAGCCCGCTGTTGGACAAAAGTGGCACATCTCTTCAAGACATGGCACGTCTGCAGGAGGGGACTTGCGCCCCTGGGACTGTTCAGTAGAGTCTCTCCACTTATGATAGTATCAACGCAAGTATCATGGTGGAACAATTTAGCGTTCTGAATTTCCTTAGTTGCATTTATTCGCCCTACATCTTCACATGACTAACTTGTATTATCGTTATCCCATCACCAAAAAAGATTTCTCATTCTCATTGACTATTTGTATTTGCAGCTCCGCAGCATATCCTCCCGCATGTTTGACCTAAGTATTCAGATGTTTGATTGTTTTTCAATAATTTGACTCCGTCCAAAACTTCATCCATGCAACCTCGTCACCAAGATGAGATCTCTATGATTCGTCAGTCATATGTAGAGGAATACACACATCATGACAAGTCAGCGCGCGACTTGTCGCGCTGGGGCTGTTCTATAGTAAAGAGTCTCTCTGCTACTACTACTCGAGAGCAGAGGAGGCGACTCAGTGTCGCCCCGCGACTGTTCGGGTATGGCCTGTCAGTCTTCCAAAAGCAGTAGGCTGATCCAAAAGGAGGAGGCTGAAGAGGATAAAAACGTAGTTCACTAGACGCCTCGAAATAAATACAAGGACAAAAGGGAGTAGAGCGTCAGAAGGTGGTGGACAAAACCAAAATGGTCTAGAGTTACGCATCGTGGACGAGTTACTACGCGGTCAGCAGATGTGCTTCGCGACGTTTTGTCATGGCGTCGATCGACTCACCACAAATGTTAAGGTCTGGATGTATTTAGGTCTTGTATTGAGGTGTTGCGTGTAGCTGTTGTCGATGTAGGTCTTGTATTGAGGTGTTGCATGCAGCTCTTGTACGCAGCACGATTAGGCTGCTTCGGTTCTCGCTGATCAATAGGTAGTGCCGTGTGCTCCTTTTCGATGGTTGAAAATGGTACTTTCATTGTGGGAGGAAGTACGGGGGACGAGCACGTGTCCACCTTTCAAATAAGACGGCCGAGCTGCTCACGTTGATGACTCTATAAACACCAGCGCCAGTCTTATACTCGACTTGATTTGATTCGTCACTTTCATAGTGCAGTGTGACACTGTCACCATGCTATAGTCTAACTCATTGAGAGAATGTTGAAAATGGAGAAAGTTGAACTTGAAAGTCGCTTCAAATGACACGTCAGATTTTGAATTGATTCCTTGGGCGATAAAAAGCAACTTTTTCGAGGATTGTGGAAGTTCAATTTGAAATCATTGCCAGCATCGTCATCATTATCATCAAATCATCATCCTCGTCGTCATCATCAACCTGATCCTGCTCCACCTGTTTCACCTCTTTCGTAGTGAACATTGTCACCATTGTGCTACTCCTAGTGTGTTTGTGTTGCTCTCTTTGGTAATCTACTACTTTGGTGTACGTGTAGGTGTCCTGGAGAAAGTTGGCTCTAAGGTTTTAAATTGAATTGGTGGGCGATAAAATACCACTTTTTCGAGGATTGTGAATTTCACTGAAGCAGAGCAGTGATGTGAAATCGTTCACCCTGACTATACTACTTGTACTTTTGTACTAGGTCGCTGCCTTTGCATTTGCTTCATCTCGATCCCCATGAATCACAGATCGGAGACAAACTTAAACTTTAGGTTATTTTGAAGGATGATTTGGATTTGCTACAGTAAGTCAGCTTGATCTTGGTGTTCCTTCATAGATAACGCGGCAAAGGCCACCAACTACAAAGAACTTCTTTCTTAATGTTGGCCATCAACTAACCAAGTTCTATGATAACTTTTAGATGGTACTATAGGTAGCTAGACATACCTAGGTATACGTATAGTTAGAAGGCTCGTAGATGATGAGGCCATTCCTATCTTCATGCCTTATTCTATCCTATCGATCGTAGCAGACTTCTTCTAATGTTGGCAAATCGTCAGCCAGCTCTGTAGCGAAGTTTTTTGAGTCCTGCACGACGACTACAGGTTCGTCTACGGGAGGAGGAGAAGCAGCCTCGAGTGGAGGAAGGACGGGATTAATGTCTAAAGATATGCCACTACAGGACTCATTTTTATAAGCGTAACTTGTTATTGGCTTTGTTCTTGGCTCTCTGAATTTGATGCTTGCTAAGAAGTGTGCTTTTTTGTTTTAGATTTAGCAGTGATATTCAAACTCATGTGATGAGTCTATAGGTACTGTATAAGGCTGCTCCGCTGAGTAAATATTCTCGTCCTGAAAGCCCATTTCTAATACCACGCAATGGATAGCAGAGGTGAAATCGCTGACTGGTGATGGGTTTAACGTGCCCGCTTTGACAAAGCTCTTCGAACGCTTGCAGTTGCCTCAGGACGCTCTTGCGTTGAAGAAACAAGCGACCTCAGGAGCGACCCCGTTCCTTGAAGGCACAAAGCCCGCACAGAGATTAAGGCTTGTAGAATGATGTGAGTGAAGTATTTCTATTTTCTTTTTCTACTAATGTCAGAAGGCGGAGCGACATTTTCAGTAGCGCTTGAGCGCCACTGCTTCTGGGTAGGGCAACAATTTTCATTGGTGCTGATTTTCTGAGGTCTAGACTAAGAAAGAATCACTAGATCTGGGGATTTGCACATGCAGCACCAATCAAGGATCAACATTATCATGGGGATGGGGTTGCATATGGTAGCTCTAAATTAAGCAGCGGAAGCACTCGATCCATACAGCGGGAACATTGAGGCCTACATGGATCTTTGTAGGATGAGTGTTGTCGCAGCACAAGAAGAAAGCCAAAAATTAGGACAAGGATCTAAACAAGACCTTTTAGCGATAATATGATCGATTATACCACAGAAGACCAACAGTATCATCTTGACTCGTTGCGCGTCTATCTTGTTTTCCTAGGAGGCCGGTACATTAAGATGTACTTAGACTAAGAGCTCCAGCTCGACGAGCGTCACGAGAATTAGTATCATGTAGATGAAGAGCTTAGATCTTATACTATCGTGAAGACAGGGAGGAGGAGCTCCCGCTCTAAGAAAAGCAGGCGATGGCGCTGACGCAGCTTCTGGCAACAAAAAACAAATGCCTCCAGTTGTTGTAGATATTGCCTCAGTTGTGAGTACTACACCCGCTGCAGCCGCGTCTGCACCCACAGCAGGCAAAGATTAAGAGCACCTACTCGAGGTGAGTCAATTTTTACCAACGTGTTTTAGTCAATTTCAAATCCACCAGCATGCTTTTTGAGCCAACGACTTCCTCCGCTAGCTCTAAAAAGACGTCGCCAGGCCTTCGGTATCGTCTTGTTTACCAGCGTCTTAGTCTTTTAGTCAATTTCCGCCAACATCTTGTGGTCAATTTCCTTAGTTCTAATAAGAGGTCGCCATGCCTTCGGAGGTATCCTCGGAAGCTACCAAGGGTTTAGATCCTCCCTTTGTACACACCGCAACCCTTCGCTTGTGGCGAGTTGCATCTGCGCGCCACGGAAACTTCATACAGAGGACGAGCTTGTTGAGATTTCTGAAGCTAAGATCATTATCTGAATTTAACAGGTTGGATGATCTATCATCGGATAATCTAGATCAGACACATTGGATGAGATTTCTATTATAATATATTCAATGTATGAGGGCAACTCACTCAACCAGTATCAGGGATAGTTCTTAGGGCAGCTCACTCAACGAGAACTAGTTGTACTACGGATTGATAGACGTTAGTGAAAAAAGCACTACAACTTACATGAGCTTCTAATTAAGGATTTGCTTTTTACTAGAAAAGAAGTCGGTCAGTCGACCACGGCCGCACTTGAGCAAGGAGCTGCATTAGCAGCAGCTGCGGATGCGAAAGGTGAAAGTGGCCTTGTGAGCAGTGACGCCAAGAATGCTGAAGCTCCTTCGTCAAGCTCGAGCGTGCATGTCGCGCCTCGGAATTCGAAGACCGACAAGACAAACAACACTGCAGCTGTTGCTACTCCTTCACCTCCGCAACGACACTAAGGCATGATAGAAAGATATACTATAGATCTTGATATCTTCCTGATTCAGATTCAGATTCTCCATTGGTGTCTTATCTTTCAGTGAATACGCGTAGGGGCGTTACGAAAGACAAAAAACAAGTGTTCAGACTCTTGATGAGTCTTCAACTTCAATAAAGTAGATGTAGTTCGTAGACGCAGAAGAGAGAGAGAAACCTAAGCATGAAGATACTCAATTCCGTATAGTACTCGAAACCTCCCTAGTAAAGGCTAAACATCATGATCTTCTTCAAGAATGTGGTAGCAGAAACCCCATCCCTAAATGTTAAACATGTTGATGATCATCTGCTATCGCCTAATATCAACAACAGCCTCCAGCGCAACAGGTCCCAAGGGGTCTGTGGTTTGAGCCTTTATTCCTCATAATGATGCAAATGCGTCTGCCATTGACCAGAGAGCAAGCACGTGCACTCTTTGCGCATTATGCGAGAGAACATGCAGAACAAAGAGACACGTCGCAGAAATTAAGGCTCGCGACCTCGCCGTCAAGGACCTAATAAATCGTAATTGATTTTGATTCATCAATCTTCATAGATAGATGATGACGATGAGAAGCATTTTTTTTGTGGTTTGCTCAGTCAGACCAAGGACTGGCTGTAGAAGGCAGGGAAATCAACAATTGATGAATTTGCGCGCGCGCATCTAACTCTGAGGAGGGCGACGGCTATGGAAGACACCTCTGACGTAGGGACGAGAAGAGCATCTACATTTTCCAGAGCAGGTTAAGGCCCCAAATAAGTCGTCGTCGACGGACCACTTTTAATGTTTGATAGAGTTGTGGATCGTCAACATCAAGAGCAGCAACATCTTCTGGAGTCGTGAAACTTCTAGGAGTTTCATCAAGCTCCACTTGCACTTCTAGGAGTTTCATCAAGCTGCAACATGAATCTTGAAAAAAAGCAAGAAGTCTTGAAGATTATACTCCAGCATCTCTCTAAAAAGTGGCGGAAAATGGCGCTGAGGCTGACCCAACAGCAACAGCATCAGCAGTTAAGGCATTTATTGATAACTCATCTCCGCAAGACCAAGAGCCCAAGAGCCACTAGCACGAGCCACGACAGAGGATGCGAAAAAGCTGGATCCCTTTCCCTCGTGTAGTTGTACTTTGTAGTCTTTCCACGACAGTAGACGTAGATGAGTACTTAAGTTTGAAAGTATCTTCCCGGTAGCTCGTAGTCGTGTTTGAATCGTCGTGAAGCGACAGTAGAGTGAGCTTGAAAGTATCTTGTCTTCCGTGTCGCTCGTAGTCGTGTTTAAATCGTCGATCCCTGTCGTCCCTCGTAGTGTTTAAAAAGTCGTGAAGAGGACGTTCTCCTTTTCATCCTCTAAAAGACACGACTCACGCCAAGAAAGCCTCTTCTTGTCTCGAAGCAGAGCACAGAGTCTATTTTCAGACTTAAGGCAGCTTCCCCTAATCCAACGCCAACTCTCTGGAGATCCCTCATCCTCAATAGTATGCACCCCAATACCAGGGAGATACTCTTGAGGCATATTCTACTTGAGGGATCTCCACAGGGATAGGATCGAATAGGATATTAGTGTGCCTTTGCAGGGATGAATTATTGGGGGAAGCCAAGCTCTAAGAGATGTGATCGATTTCGGCGTCCATAGGGAAGCATTCTTCTACTTTCTACATTTTCATCGGATACAGCTTCCGGACTCCGCGATTCTAGCACTTTGGGATCAAATCATACTGCCGAAATTTATGAAGTAGAATTAAGTATCTCAATCTCACACAAAAATGTTACCTGCTATATCTCTAGATTGCTAATATGTTCACCTATATCTATCACGCGGGCTGGTCCTGGAGCGTTCATTCGCCCCCAGCTACTGTATGTAATTGTCGATTCTAGCTAAAAGTGGAATGATGTAAGTATTGTTCGTCGTAGACAAAACGAAAGAAACAAATACAAATAGACGCTTCTGCTTGTTGTGCTTCATCTTGTTCGCCAGCACGACTACAACCAGTACCTTCTAGACCAACAGGAGCCCACAGTTACAGCGTCTCCGTCTAACTATCGGCGTGGTGCCTTGCAGAACTCCACGGTAGAGCTGCCCTCTTACATGGCTGAAACATTCATTGGGCAGTGGATAACGGGTCTGCGGATGCGGAATGAGGAGTATAACATTACGAATCCATCGACTACAAAGGTTGTCGTTGTATATTTAGGTGTACTAGTTGCAGAAGTAGATTCACACTCAGCAGAGGAAGTAGTGAAAATATCTCGATGCTGTCGGACTAGGACATTAACATTGACATGAGTACTATTTTAGTAGAACAAGTAGAAGTATCTTAACCTTATCGAGGTCGTCGTGTAGAAGTACTAGAAGATACTTTTACGTCAACGTCCTCGTGGTCTTTCACTAGGAGAAAGTGTCTAGCTTCAACTAAACACTAGTAGGCTTATGAGGATTAGGAAAGATCTTGTTGTATTTCATTTTCACGTAGTTGATTATCTTGAATGCTTTGTTCTTCCATGATAGTGAGTGTTTGATGTGTCGTTGTTGAAACTTGAGACCTGTCATGTGACTGTGGCGTCATTGCTGAGCTCCTCTCAGCTGATACGAATCTGTCCCTGACGATGCCTATTACTGGTCGTAGTGATTAGCGGCCATTAGCTAGTCAAGTGTAAGTGTCGTGAAAACCTTATCACCAGAAAATGAATTTGAATTTTGGGCGATAAAAAACCACTTTTTCGAGAATAATTGAAATTTCGACTTCTTTTTTTTGAAATTTGAAACTTTGAATTTCTACTTTTTCCATCTGAGGGAATCTGTGGAATGTTGTAGATAGCAAGAGGGCACACAGATGCTTACTCTATCATAATGTAGTAAAAGTAGGATGTACTATTAAAGTAGTAGTGAGAGGATCTTCGCTCGATAGGCAGGAATAAAGACCAACTACGGTCGCACGTGATGTACTGCTTCTACTTCAGAAGACGTAACTCTCTTTCCAAAAATGTAGTTCTTTCACTCCTAGAAAGACTACTAAAGAACTTTGTTGCTCAACCTAGAACAAGAGACAACAACAAGCTCCACCTCTAAGTTCTCTAATCTCGAAGCAGAAGACAACAAAGAGCAGATTGCGAGTACCTCTGTGGCGCCATGGCCTCCAAAAGAACTTGTGCCGATCGAATTTTATGCTCCATCTCCTAATCCATCTCTAGTACAGGGAAGTAGATTCGTCAACAATTCAAGGGGATCCGTCAACGTTTCATCTGGCGTTGTACCCCATGAAAATAAATGAATGGCAACTGCAATATCTACTAGAAGACGTAGGTGGTGGACGAGTAGACCTATTTACCTGTTAACTTTTTACTCCGTACTGTAGATAGTTGACCTTGACGAGGACAGAGTAGATAGACTGGAAGCGAGGGGATAGCGCTCGTCTTAGCACCGACCACAGAGATGCATCTCCACAGAGATGGTGATGGATGTCCACGGATATCAAAATCAATGGTTTGCTAGGGACACTTAGCTCTCTCTAAGAATTTGTTACCGACTTAACAATCGAGGTACTGCTTCGAAGTGGGATGTGGGTAGAGTTTGCCAAAGAGATACTGCGTTCGCTCGACGTCGTCGTCGCTCCGGATGTTACGATGAGTAACTTCTCTTGAGGGCGCTTGATTAGTACACCCAACTTTTAAACTCGTAAAATAGCAACTCAAATTGTTGATGTCAGTATGAAAAAGTTGACCCCCATTAAACTCGAAAAATATAAATTGTTGCCAGCATCAAAAAGCTGGCCCCCATTAAGTCGAAGCTCGCCGATGCTATTTTGGTTCTTTATCCTTCCTCCGTGGCAGCTTTCACTACACCAATTTTGATATACGCGTTATTCTTGACCACATTTACCTTACGTTATATTGACCTTGAAGTTCTTGAATCTGTTCCGTCTTGCCGGTAGTTTAGAAGGGCTACTCACGTTATTTTTGACCACATGCACATTACAGCGTTATATAATTACTTATATATCATCGACCCACCTCCCACAATGATTTATATTACTCCCACATCGTTTTCGTTGTGTTATCAATATATGATTAACGACGCTCTTTCTAATATCCATGTAGAAAGCATCTTTCGGGAGTTGCTGATAAAAAACATTGTGGAACAGAGTTCGGCAGGAGACGTTGAGAAGAGCAATTCGACGAAACAGATGACGGGGTTTCTCCCATTCGACGACTGCTATCGGATCCTCAAAGGCGTCGGGAAGATTATGAGTCTGACTTGCTCCAAATTGGCTCCAACATGACTTCTTGCGCTTTCGGAAAAAATGATAAAAATGCAGATGGTCTATCTCTATAGATCGTTTCTGAGCAGTTGTATTCCTATTCCAGAAGTAGAATACACAATCGATATCGATTTCTTGTTGGATATCATTCAAGATTGGTGGTTCTTGCTTCGCCCCCTAAGAAAGGTAACTACATGTCGTGCACCAACTTATCGAAGGTATTGCTCTTTCAATCGGTAAATGGACCTTGTCGAAGGCATCTTCCTTTCAACTAGAGCAGGAGAGAAAAGTTGTGTACCCTGTCAACTAGAAGAAACAGAAAGGAAAGGTGTCGCAAGATACGTGGCTTCAAACTACACTCTGATTACAGCTACATTCTGATGGAACGTTCTAAGAAGACATCGGGAATGGATTTCCGCTACTTCCGGCGCACCATACAGGCCTTAGGTATGGCTCTATTAAAAATCGTTGATGTAGTCGTGCATGTGGTATAACTTCCTGCTTCCTCTTCCTTGCTCTTCAGTCTCAGAGTCTAGCTCGATTAGTACTAGTCCTTGTACTTCCACTTCTTCAGACTCTAGCACTTCTTGCTTCACCTTCTAGAAGATGTAGTGCTCCAGAATGATGAGGTCACCATGATTTTGTTGTTAGTTCCGCTAATCCGAGCCTGAACTTTTCCTACGCGGACTTGTATGACACTTACGTTCAAGCGGAAAAGGAAGAACGCCTCCGCCTTGAACAGTTCCAGTTAAGGCTTGTCAGCATAGTACTTCATTCATCTTTAGCGACAGGATAAGGATACTGTTTAACTTGCCTCAGTCAGAATGATGAGGGAATCCTTCTTGAATATCTCAGAAGATTCTTGCTTCTACTATGGTGCTATTGCTTCTGGGGTAGAAGAGAACATTTTTGCTGAGAATACAAATACAAAAACTCTGCTGGCTCCTGTAGTACAATGAATGGATGAATCAATGAGAGTCCTCTAATCCAGTTGGCAGCGTTGATCTTGGTGAAAGAGCGACTTCAGCGGCAGTTCATGCGCGAGCTTGGTTTGGAATCGGATCAGATTTTCTTAACGATGCTCGGCTACAGTGCTCTCTTCATACTGATATTCCTCTTCTTTTATGGCGCACAAAGAAAAAGAAACCGGTTAGTTTTCCCCCATACCCTAGATTTATCCCAACAAACACAATCTATCGCATCAATCATAGTTGATTACTCTCGTGTGAGCTGTGAAGCTGAGGGTGAGTGTGTAGTTGCCTGTATCTGTATGAGAGACCACTGTTAGTGGGTATCTTTCAGGCTCAACAATGTTAGTAGGTATCTTGCTCTAAACGATTGTTTGGCTCCATGTCGTCATCCTCCCTACGAGTTTCTTTTTCTTCTAGATAGACGGTCGGTGAATAATTAACATCAAAAACCACAAAGTAGATTTCTAATTTTCGCTGCTCGTGTTGCAGAGTTTCGGTCCGGGTCATAGTTTGATCACGACTTCGGTCCAGGTCTTTTTCGCAGCTTTCGTTACCTTCAGTGTGGACCGGCTCAGCAGCGAGGGAATCAACTTGCCGACTTATCTATTAAGGCAACTGTTACGACTTATCTATTTCTATTAGGGTCGTGATATCAAGAACATCGATTGCTTAGCGCGCGGTCATCTGGCTATAATCATACTACTGGCAACAAGGCTATGCCTTGTCCTTAATCAGTCAAAAACCTAGTTTCTTTGCAACTATTAAGGCCACTGCTACGATTCCGTCTACGACCCTAAGGAAAAACTCCTTTACGCTTTCGCCTACAAGGACTGCTAGCTACAGCTATTTCTTTGTGCCTCTTGTTTTATTTCTCTCCATAGATTTGCGCTTGGTTTGATTTACTTTCCATAGGGTCTAGTATCAGAGATACTCTTAAATACAAATCTCCATGCGCATGCTCATCTGAGGCATGAGAGTATTGTGAACAAATCAACTGCAGTTGATCTTGTCAGTCAGCAACTGTCTACCCTCCGTAGGCATAGTGGCTAGTACTGGAGATGCACTTATACAACTCTCCGTGGGGAGATCTAATGTAAGGCAAATTGAAGGCAGTAGTGAAGAAATCCGTCAGGGTTATGCACTAGCTCATCTGCTGCTGGAGGAGATAAGAGCATTGGGCTAGTACGACAAGCTGCTGTGCGTGTACGTCAAGAAGACACCACATGGGATGCAGATGCCAGTAAGTGCTGTTCTTGTACGAGGCGAAAAATTAAAACGGGACGAAGATGGTAGTAGGCGCTGCCGTGCGCGTACGTCAAGAAGAAAGATGGGATGAAGATGCCAGTAGGCGCTGTTGTACGAGAGGAAGACAAGAGAAGACTTCTACAAAGATGTGCATAGTGCTATTGTTTTGAAGAGGAAGACCACAAATGAGACCACTCAACAGGGTTCAGTTGTGCAAAAACTTACTTTTTATGTTGCTATGTATTCATCATCGTGAATGAGTTGAACATCAAAATTTGTATCACTCGGCAAAAAAGCGAAATCATCACTCGCTTGCTCCCTAAAGTAATAAATTTCGCGACAGCTTCTATTGAGCTACATGATGAAGTGTAATGATAGATAATGATCACAAATGTTAATACAACGTCTCTCTTATGTTGACGCGTATCTTCATCTACTTGCCGTATATCCACTTCAATGGGGAAACGAAGATAAAGACGGATCATCCTCCGTGTCATTCTAGCTACTAAGCAAGAAGTTGCTGAGAAGATGTTGCTCCGTCTATATCACCAAAGACCAAAGTTGTACTACTTGTATATTAACCTGCTTGGCAAAAGGTGTGGCTACAACTTCGCATATCATATCGCCAAAGTTGTAGGTAGTCTATCAGCAAAGAGTAACAGGAGTTGTTTGAGGATTATGCAGCTGAGTTGTCTCTGATAAAAACCATCAAAAGAGACTGAATCAAAATTAACGAGTTCTCACTTTTTTTGGAAGTTGTCTTTCTTTCGTATTAATTTACATCTCTAGAAGAATGGAAGCGAAGGCGGAGGCTAGAGCAATGTTGTTTTTTGATTTTCTTTCATTCTCGTCTGAACAAGAAGTGTTTGCACCTACTGAGAGCGATAAGATAGAAACGCGAGCAGAAAGCTTTTTTCCGAATGATGTCTCATTTTTGAAAGTATTCAATAACTTCGGAAAATCTTCTTGAGAGATATCTATGACGAACTACAGGCTGTTTTCCAGATCCAGTGTAAAGCCGTTGCTTCTTTGCGTCAAGCCTAGGTCGTCTGAGACGCATTGTGACCACTGAGACTGGCTATCATTGCAACTGAGACGCATGCATCGCGCTAGCTGCTGGCTTGGTGATTTGTGACCAGTATGATGAAAATAGAGTTAGTGTCAGTGGTCAATGATGGTGTGGAGGGTACGAGAGCCCCCCCAGAAGACGGGGGTAGCGCGACGTCGCCTTCAGAATATAATATTAGAGGGTCAACTCGTACTTCTTTGCTGGGTCATTTGATAATCGTCGTACCTGATGCGAACGAGGGACTTGATGTTGAGGAGAGGAAGGCGCTGTTCTCAATTATATTATGAATCACTCGTTTACCGACGGTAGTGGAGGTATCATCTGTATATGTTATAGGCGCGTCTTCGTTCTTGTGTCGGTCTCCATGTCTATGCCATGCGTCATCTTTTTGATATATCGGTCAAAAGTCTCAGTCTCACCGAAACAAAGCGAAGCCCGCTGCTAGCTAGACCCATACTGCTCCTGTCATGTAAGTACTTAGCTAGTTTGTAGAACAACGACATCCATGCTCTTCCATGTAAGAATATCACTTGAAAAACGATCTTCAAACACCAAAGAAATAGGAGCAAGTGCACACGTTGAGAAAGCTCAGCACTAGGTCCGACAATAACTAGAGACACCGACGCCACAATCTAGAAACATCTTCTACTTCTTATCAAAGCACTACTATTGATGTAGCCTTCTAGCTATTATATTTTCGTGAAAGCCATTTTGTTTTGCACCACGAAGAGACGAAAGAACCGGGCCACTTCAACATAACGGCGGGTGGCTCAGTAAACTTTCTCGTGGCCAAAAATAATCAGAGAAAAAGATGCCGCTCCTCGAAGAGGCATATGCCGAAGCAGCTCCGCTCATGGAGAGCGACCCCGGCCACGGTGGTGGCCACAGTGGTGAAATTCTTGTACTTATGCCGCGTAGCGTCAGCTTTTCGATCTTCAGCTACAAGCATACATATTCCTGCTTCTTTCGTGATGGTTCAACTTAGCGAGAACTTCCACGCGGAAGCTTATTATAGCCTGTAGAGTCTTTATCCATCCTCGGGCTTTAGAAGTAGTGCCGATGAAGCCTCGGCGTTTGCGCCTTCTTTGTAGTGTGCCCTTCGGATGGGTTAGCTATTTTTACTACAGATGTTTCCTATCCTCTAATAGAGCAAGCGCTGGCAGTGGCGTTTTGCCTGTCTGGGCGTGCGATGCCATGCTGATGAGCCGCGCGAGCGTGATGAGCAAGCAGACCAACTACCACATCAAGAAGGTTTGCGCCTTGTTGCTCTTGCTCTTGGTGTCTTCGATTGCAGTAGTAGGCCCGGCATTCTTGGCGAGTCTATTGGTGGCGCCAATTAATATGGCTCGAAGCTGAAAGCTTACAGTCCAAACTTGTAGAGGGGTCAACTATTTGTTATAGATAGACTGGCCCCATCGATCAACAAGAAGATGGGAGGCTGGCTCTCTTGATGTGATCTTCGCGAGGGATAGCTAAGATGCTCGGAATGGGAAAATGGGGCCTCTGGTTGATCTCTCAACTTGATTTGATAGATTAGCGTCAACTTTCTGACGCCTCCACCTCTTCTAACATGCGTGGCGCCACGCGCGATGGTGCAACCGCTGGGCTTCAACATCCAGCCACTCGCGCTCGTCTTGGTCGCGCTTTTTCTACCTCTGCAAGCAACAGCTCTGCAATGAGCACCGTGACGGCGATGGATGAGCTGAGCTTTGTAGACCTTAGGACCCTGAAGACAACCCGAACCGCATTTGGAGGCGATAACGCTCAGTCGGAGACGATTGGAACGGCCCTGCAGGAGATGAGAAAGGCTGGGGCGGAGATGATAGATGGCCCAGAATACAAGGCGGAAGAAAGGTACAGGCTTGCGGTTAACATCTACAGAGGATTGCCGGATGAGCTGAAGAAGCACGAGGAGATCCGCGCAGAACTTTTCCGTGTTTCGCGTGATGCAGTTGCACTAAATAATGGTGGAATAGAGTTGTGGATTGCTACATCTAGCTCTACCAACGAGTTGTTTCCAGATGTTTTGTGGGAAGACGAAGAGTTCGTGCTGTACGCCATGTTGCAGGTGTCATGCTCGAAGGACGAAAAGACCGCAAGAGAGTGCGCAGGCGACGAATCTAGACGGGGAGAGAAGAGTAGGCTAGTGCGATCAATCTATGCAGAGAGGGTGTCGAAGCATCTCCTCCAGAAGAGTGTCAACATTTTGCAGGCTCTTTTCAGCCTTGCCACAGGCCCGACCGCGAATGTCCCTGACCCCGAGAACGACTGGCTGTGCCGGTTTCTCCCTCTGTGGGATACGAAAGAAGAGACCTGGCGCCCGTTGGACGAAGGACCAATGCAAATGCCTGTAGACGTAGCAGAGCGCATTTTGTTGATCTGCCCGATGGTCGTTGCTGGTTTGCTTGCGGCCGTGGCCGATCCCACAAACGCCGCTGCGAAGTGGCGCACCGGCCTCACCGGTGAACTAGGAGTGAAAACTGCCGAAGTTGAACTGCTGAAGAGGGATCCACGGGTTGCGCGTGCTGTGCTACCAAATCTTGCCGACGGAAGCCTGAACGCTGACGACTTTCCAGCAGCATTGTTCCAGGGCGCGACAGGGATTCAGCGCGACTTCGTGTGGGACGCTATGCTGGCAATCGACAGCGGGCCTCGATTCAGGAAAGTGAAAAAAACGGAAGTCGCACGAATCGCCGGATTCGTGCTCGCTACGCCGACGGGAGAAGGGGTTCGCCCTCCGGATCCGCGATCTTTCTGGGCTGATGCCGTGAAGCACGCTGGGAAGCTTTATACCTACGTCCCGCCTGACCTTCAGGGAGATAAACAATTTGCCCTAGTAGCTCAGTCGGAGACGATTAGAACGGCCCTGCAGCAGCAGATGAGAAAGGCTGAGGCGTTGATGATAGATGGCCCAGCAAACGAGGCGAAAGAAAGGTACAGAGATGCGGTTGACATCTACAGAGGATTACCGGATGAGCTGAAGAAGCACGAGGAGACTCGCGGCCAATTCCTCCGCATTTCGCTTCTTGCACTACACAAGTTGTGGGACGTGAGTCTAGAGGATCTGAAGGATGAAACTCTATTCCCAGATCCACACGCTTTGTGGAGTGATGAAAGCTTTGTGTCGGCCGCGATGGGAGCGCTCTCAAGGGTGAGCTTTGAAAACACAAAGAGGTCACCCACGTATGCTCTATGTGAGGTGCGACAAGTCTATGCGAAAGTGTCGAATGATCTCCAAGAGAGTGTCGACATCTTGGAGGCTTTCTTCCGCTTTGGCGTACCCGTGGATCGCGACTCGGTGAAGATGCTTCATGCCGTTCTCCCTAAGTTCCGGACCGTTCACGGGGCGCAGACCTGGGTTGCGCGTCATGTTGGCTTCGACGATTATTTCGCGATGCCTCCAGAAGTAGCAAAGCGCTTTTTTGGGGTCGGCCAGTGCGCCAATCCTGATCTTGCAGCCGTCGACATTCGAGCTTTCGCTGCTCTTGGTGCGCAACTTGACCCCGCGAGCGCCACGGAAGTCCCGAAACATTTGCGAATCTGCCCGGCGGTCGTTGCTGGTTTTCTTGCTGCCGATCCCACAACCGCCGCTACGAAGTGGAGCACCGGACTCGCCACTGGACTAGGCGTGACAGAGGAGGAAGCTGAATCACTGAAGGCCGATCCGCGAGTTGCGGTTTTTGCACTGCTAGATCTTGCTGACAGAACCATCCAAACCCGCGATTGTCCAACCGCATTACAAGACGACCCGACCACGCGTGACCGCGTCGTGTGGGACGCTATGCTGATAATCGAAAAGGGGCCACTGGATACCAGGGAGGCCAAGGTAAGCGCAGTCGTAAACATCGTGGAACAAGCGATGCAGCTGTGCGGAGGTGAAACCGCTAAGACAGCAGACCGCGCAGGGTTCTGGCTTCGTGCAGTGGGGCATCATATGGAGCTCATTTCCTTTGTGCTGGAGGACGTATTCTGGTTGTGCGCAAAACCTCTGCTTGCTTTTCGGGCGGTCTCCAAAGTCAGGCCAGAGCCTTTCCCAGTTGACGCAATGAGCACGGGTGTCGCCGGCTCTCTGAGTCGTCTCGCATGCCAACCAGGTGAAGGCTTTGACTTTACGCCATTCCTAGCGGGATCGGCGTCGGCTGATCATGCACCCGCGGTGGCAAGTCTACAACGTGTGCGGAGCAACATGGCAAAGAAACTAGTCTGTGCGAACCCCAGACTCGTAAAGCCAGACCGAAGAAACCTCTTGCCAAAAGATCTGCTGGGGGACGACGATTTTGCAACTTTTTTAGAGAACGTCGCCAATGAAAACCCGAATGCGTGCCGTGGCTCAGTACTAGTCGTCACGGCGTGAGGAGGTGGTCGACGTCGAAGAGGAGGTGGTCGACGTCGAAGAGGAGGTGGTCGACGTCGAGGAGGAGGTGGCCGACGTCGAGCAGGAGCTGGTCGACGTCGCAGAGGAGGTGGTCGACGTCGAGGAGGAGGTGGCCGACGTCGCAGAGGAGGTGGTCGACGTCGAACAGGAGGTGGTCGACGTCGAACAGGAGGCAAGGTGGTTGTTAGTAGTCGTGAGCAGAGCAAGAAGTCGGATGGATGTCGTTAGTAGTGAAGAAAAGACCGTGAGCAAGGGCGTCAATTCTAGGAGGATGGTGAAAGGGCGGCCAGCAACGTGGTTGCTTGCCGTCGTTCAGAACCTAGGGGAGATGGGGGAGCTCGTACCATGATGAGATAGCAACTCCGTTGAGCTTGAGCTTGGGAGACCGGGTTGCGGTCGTCGCCGCGATGAGATAACGTTAGCAACTTGGCTGTGGTGTCATGATGATGCGACGACTATAGCGCCATCGCTTTGGTGTGGATGCTATACTTTGTCTTTGCCGTGCGTGACTACTTAGCTGATACATAGCAGCAGGGCTTTGCTTGTGCTATGCTGTATTCATCGTCAGAACAGACGCGGAGGCTGAGCTTGAGGGCCTTGCTGATGTTGCGTTCTGAAACATTGCAGCGGAATAGGTGCGCAAGTTTTATTTTTAGAGTTGGGGCCTCAGCCTCTGGAAGTAGTGAGGAGCAGGAAACTTTGAAACTCAACACGATGAATTACGTTTCTTTGTTGCAAAGCCATAGTAAGTCTACTCCTCGACTTAGAAGTAGTAAAGACTTGGTGATCTCTTGTTTCTCTTTCTTCATCATCCGTACAGCTACCAATAATCCCCCACCAGTTCCCGGCCCATCTTTGGCCCAAGCGTCTTGCTGCTATTTTTTCGGTCTGGTCGTGAGAGGATGAAGAACCAACTTTTTTGCCGGAGACTCATCTTCGCGGAGTCGCGAAGCAAGCTATCGATGCGGAAAAATTGCACGCTTCCTTCTTCGTCTCCTTCTCCACCTTGGTTGCTGCGTGGTATAATCTTCTACCTATTTTCAAAAACGACTCTTCAGAAGTGTCTGTCCTTGGTAATGAGATGAGTTACTGTTGCTGCATTAGTATCAAGATGATCACTCACACTCAGCTTCGTTTTTAGTATGCTAGATGAAGCAATATCTTCAAAATTTGCCAACTATTAATCTTTTTGTTTTTCGTCAGGTTTTGTTTCTTTTCGACGCAGCGTGGTGTCTCTTGCTCACGGTGCCTCCTTCCGACGGCTAAATCTTTACGGGTATCTACTGGCTGGCTAGTGGTTTTTGGTGTGGAAGCAATGGAAGCACAGAGTCGGCTGCTGTGTTTTTGGACAGTGAATTTGTGAAACAACAAGAGACGACGCCGGACTATGGAGGTGTTACAAACAAAAGACGTCGCTGACTCTGGTTTGCACATTCCTCCTGGGCGTTTGTCATTGTTCAACTACGGGCCATGGCAGTCCTTATTGTTTTCATACTTACCGACCAAGGTTGGCATATTCGTGATTGTCATACTGATATATTTATCATAGTTATTTATCGTACTTCTTATCTATCATTGCCAATGGTAACTACATAGATGCCATAAGTGTCATGCTTGTCAGTCTGTTGCGTTTTGTTTTTGAAGACATAACTGATCGTCCAACGTCTGTAGTATCGTCTCCAATAACGTTTTCTTTTTCAATACGGTGACTGATGTCTGATCGCCAAGGAGTAAACCGAATCCGTAAATTCTCAAACTGACGACTACAACGGATACCCAGTCATATTGACACACAAGAACAAGAACGCTGGTGAGTAGTTACTGAAGACTGTGCTAGTTTTGAATGGCCTCAGGAGCTGCAGGAGGCTGAGGACGAGACGACTCCACGTGATGAAAATAAATGAACAAAAAGCAAAAGGCGTAGAACGTTATGACCAAATAGCAGTCTATGCCGATCTATCTCGTCCCATTTTCAGCATCGCAATAATTTCAAAAAATGTAGTGGCTACTTCGTAGCTATGATTCCAAAAAAAAACATGAGGCCGCTTGGCTTTCTGGGCTAGAATCAAGTAGTTAGGCCACTAACGGGCGAGTAGCAAGGCTAACGTTAAGTTTGTTCGTATTTGTAGCTTTCTCTTATTCTTCTTTTATCTTTTAGTATTATCGGAATTGCCTACGACTGTGCCTGCAGGTGTAGACGCAGAGACTTCGCGGACAGAGTAGCGGGCAAGGCCTCAGGAGTCATAAGACCTCGTAGAAGGTAGATGGATCAGAAGTGTGCTTAGTGTGATTGCTTGTGGCAGTCGTGTTTAGTCTCCTACGCAGTAGATTGATGGCTGCGCCGAGTCCGTAGCTTATGCAATATAGCTCCCCAGTTTCTCTTTATGTTTGGCTGCTGTGCTACTTAATTATGCAACTGCGGCGACTCCGTAGACCATCAGCGTTAGGCCATTCCTCAGGCGCGCACTATTCTCGTGGCCCTTGAGTAGGAAGCAAAAATAAACGATATGACTGCCCGACTCTTCGTGGTCGTGCCAGCGCTTAAACTAAGCCTCCTTGTCCCCTGTGGGCGGGGTATGTAGTTTACATTGCTGCGCTTCAAGTCTAGTAGACCGCTACTTGTCACATGGGAAGATGGGCACTTTTTGACTGAGTGACAAAGGCCCTTCACCTTAGGACATGGCTAGGTCTACAATGACAGCAGTCGCATCTACTAGTCTTTCGATGATGTCCTCCAAGGACTATTTTCTCTTCTTCAGTGCTACTGCTCTTGCGTTGTCTCGTAATTAAGTAGTAGTAAGTTCTCCGTGGTACTGTAGTGTAGTACAACAACAGCCCAGGATGGGGCTTACTACTACCACTACTACTACTACTACGGCTACAACTACTATAGGGTAAAAAGAAGATGGGGAGCTGCCTGCAGTCATGAAAGACCTGCAGGAGTCCACTTTTTCAAAGACTTCGACCGAAACGATGTAAAGAATATTCTTCGGGTTATAATGTGATGTAAATACTAGCACTTGCGCGAGTTTTCATTTGAAAAATCTTCAAGAAAAGATAGAAAACTCATGACTTTCCCTAGTCAACAGCAGAAAACTCCTGAAGGGTTCCTGCGAAGCAAGTACCAGGTCGACACTTTTAAAGTGCGGATCTTCCTTGTACAATTATCATGGCGAGGCCATAGTTTTCATTTTCCATATGTTGTCTAACTAAGTATTTCTAGAAGTGGCTCTATTGGTGGAGAAGCATTTTTTATTACACAGTGAAAAAAGTTGCGTCTCCCTGTAACTAGTGCCACATTGGTTTAGAAGATGGCGCCGGAATATGTTGGCCTTGACCAGAAGCCGCGTTTCCATTTTTTTGCTAGAAGTATCAGCCATTCTAGACTATTTTCTCAAGTGCAAGTGCTCCAGTCATTCTTGATCGATCTTGCCAGTAGTTCAGAAGGGCTACTTGAGCTGCTATAATGATGGTGAGCGCTCCTCTTCAGGAACAGCGCTCACGATCGTCCTCTGATCGAGAGGTGAACTCGGGCGCTTTGCTGTACAGGTGTTATTTTTCAATAGATGACGTCTTTGCGTAATAAGGCTGGGAAGTACACAGGCAAACTCGATGCCATCATCATCATCATTATCATCGTCATTTACATTCGGCATATTTCTGGATATAGACTCTTCTGCAACTCAAACTCTCGAGATGTTACACGCAACTTCTGCATCTGCGCTGCACGTGGGTGACTTTGATAAAGCCAAATAACTGGCGGCAGTTGTAATAGCTACTATTCGTCGTGTGGGAAGAGCAAGGACATCGTAGTAACTAGTACATCCGCGACACGAGTAGGCGAGCGCCAGCTATAACTGTAGACAGTCATCGCCCGCCAGATTTCCTGCATGATTTGGCCAAAATTTGACGCCCGCTGCCATTCATTTGCGCTCGTTTGTAATTTAGTCGCACAGTAGTGGCTTTTTCGAGAGGGGGCGTTTCTGCTAAAGAGGTGCGGCGTGCCCTTCTGCTCAGAAGTGGTCATCTCGCGCAGTGGGACTTGGGTGCATTGTCCAGAAGATGTCTTGTTGTCGATGATGCTGTTGAGGATCTTGAAAAATGAATTACACCAACTAGTTACTATGTTAATACGTGGGGTTTTTAGTCTGACCATTTTGAATCGAATTCATCTCAGTCGAAAAATTATTTAAGGATCAGTATCAGAGTACTAAAACTAAGAGTGTTGACGTTGCTACGTGATCACTTCTTTTTATTTAGAAGTATTTACTATTTCGCTCGAACAATCTCAGTCAGAGGCTCGCTTTGATTTAGAATTTATTTGAAGGCTTCAATAAAAGATAGCAAGGGCTGGAGGGAGTTGGATAAATCGTTATCATATGGAGAAGCTCGCAGGGAAGCTGGGTCTTGGTAAGACAGGGCCACCATGGCTCTTCTTTGAAGGTACTACAGCACTGGATTGCCTCATTGGTAGTTAGCCATAGCAATAGCTCCATAAGAGGCGCCATGACATGACATGAGCGGCAGTGTCTGACTGACAGTGTCTGGCTGATAGGATGCATCAAGAATAGTCCTAGTTCCTACCTTGGGCAACGAGCTCACGTCCGGAGATCTGCACCATCCAGGATTGTAGGCACTATGTTGATGCTTTCACAAGGACAGCGCTCCCTTGCTGAAGTGCAACTTTCTTGACGAGGTGGGCTCTCTGTCTGCTCTGGTCACATTTCTTGCATAAAGTATACGAATAGTTATAATTTGCTCGCAATATCCAGCCATCCATATTGATTCATCATGGGCCGCCCGACAGCTACTGCCTCGTCACCGATCTTTTTTGACATTTTGGTGAGCGCTAGTAGTCGACGCCAGTCAGTTTCTACGGTCATCATGAAAGGCAGCGCCAGGAGCTTAGAGGGCACATAACTTCCTTGATATATGGAGATGGAAAGGTAGCAGAGTAAATGGGTGAACTTATGTTGAAGATTGCGATGTCTTTCTCCTCCGCGACCTCGTCGCATTTATGACTAAAGTTCGAACTAACATGAAAAACAAAAATCGAGAGCGCGTTATTAAAGTTTATGTTTGCTAATTATTCAGATTTATACTTTTCTCCGCATATTAAGAACCACACTTATTAAGTAGCCTGTGGCTGTTTTCCTAGCAACTGGAGGCAAAGAAATCCCAATTGTTGTATAGCTAAGCTATGTCCCCAAGATGAAGATGGACGCAGGTTCTTTCACCAAGCCCGTTGCCTTATTAAGACACTCGTACTTAGGTGAAGTAAGTCAAGAATTGTCCGCGCGCCTCCTGATTTATTCAACTGATGCATCCATCCTCACCGAAAAAAATTGAAACGAAGTTTCTAGTTGTATGGGTTACCTACTACAACGGTACCCCATGAGTCATGGGTTTACTACCTCATGAAGGGGTTAACTAGTTGTGGGAGTTCTCCCTCTAGCCGAAGTGGGGCTAGTGCTCCTTCTAGTCCCCGAGGTAAAGCTAGAAGATGAGATGGCTGCGAGTCTTCAGTTGTCTACACTTACTTTCTCGTAAAGGAGGACGGAAGCTTTCTCTTAGACAAGGGTGGAGGAAGTCGGCAATTATTCTTTTGAAGGTCGTAGCAGGATAGTTAGCACAGAAGAAATAGAGAACTAGTTGATATTGCCATGACTAGGTCTCCTAGAACTGCTAGTAAATAATAGCAGTTTGTTGTAGATTCAGCATCATTTAGGAGAGAAGAGACGCGCAGACAGTCGCGGCGGTGGACCAGAGCCCGTGGCGCTCAATCGTTCACTGCCTCGATTGCGTTCAATCTCACTCTTCCAGAACTACTACTACCAATGTAGTTTGTGCTTCTAACTGCTTAGAAGTCCTGAGGAGCATGGCGCGTGCTAGTGTGTTCTACTATGAGTGATCATGATGGTGCTACCTCATTTTCATTTTCTTTCTTTTCTGGCTAGGGCTCGACTGGGGGAAGTCTTATGCGTCGTGTGTGAAGTTCTTCCTTGGAAACTTGCAGCTACAATGGGGATGCTCGCGTAAAACGGACAGAGAACGACTCGCTGAGTAGGATTATACGTTGTTACTCATGTGGCCTGCTGTTGGACAAAAGTGGCACGTCTCTTCAAGACATGGCACGTCCGCAGCAGGCGACTTGCGCCCCTGGGACTGTTCAATAGAGTCACTCCGCTTATGTTACAGTATCAATGTAAGTATGGTGCAAGAGTTTAGCGTTCTGAATTTCCTTAGTTGCATTTATTCGGCCTACATCTTCATCACGTGACTTGTATTATCCCATCATCAAAAAAGATTTCTCATTCTCTTTGACTATTATTTGTATTTGTAGCTCCGCAGAATATCCTCCCACATGTTTGACCTAAGTACTCAGATATTTAATTGTTTTTCAATAATTTGACTCCGTCCACCAAAACTTCATCCATGCAAACTCGTCACCAAAATGAGATCTCTATGATTCATCAGTCATATGTAGAGGAATACACACATCACGACAAGTCAGCGTGCGACTTGTCGCACTGGGGCGGGTCTATAGTAAAGAGTCTCTCTGCTACTACTACTCGAGAGCAGAGGAGGCGACTCAGTGTCGCTCCGCGACTGTTCGGGAGGTATGGCCTGTCAGTCTTCCAGAAGCAGAAGGCTGATCCCAAAGCAGTAAGCTGAAGAGGATAAAAACGCTCACTAGACGCCTCGAAATAAATACAAGGACATCAAAAGGGAGTAGAACATCAGGACCATGAAGTGGACAAACATTTTTGAGCAAATTCTCTTGCTCATTGTCGGTTCGAGATCAACAAAGTCCGTGCTCCATTGAGAAAAATTTTTCTTGTATCTTCATGTTTAATGCTACCTGTCGGCTCATTGTATCTTCGGATCGGTTCTCCTCTTCGGTTTCCTCATCAGCAAGAGAGTGCCACCTTGTTCCGCGATGGGTTTCTTCTAAAGTCGAAGTTGGAAATTTTCACTAATTACCCAGCAAGAGTCAGAACTTCAGGATGTTGCATCTCGTCATCCGTTTCAAACCATCATGATGCATCCCATCACGAGCGTTCATCGCGCTGCCCAGAGTAGAGAAATTCCACAAGAATTTCTCGAATGAGTAGTCCCTGGCCTCAATGAATCACCAGTGACGCGTCAATTTGTCAGTCAGTCAAGCCATCTACTTCACGACTAGTACTATATTTGTCATCTTCATCAAGTTTCAAATGTGCTTGTTCTACTAACTGCGTGCTATGTACTCAACAAGGTCATTAGAGATAGTAGAGGACTGCTTTTTTTTCGAAAGTAAAACAATGGTGAACGTGACGCTAACGGTTTGCTGTAGTAAGTGCGGACAGCTGGATAAGCTGACGATGAACGCGTGGACTGCTGCATCTAATTTTCTTCAGGGGCGTTGCCATGAGGTAGTAGCTCTAGTATTATGATAACCTGATACTAAGTTAGTTGTACTATTGAGCCAAGAAGTAAACGAAAACAAAAACCAAGATCACTACAACAGCTTCTACAACATTATCGCCAAAGCCTCCTTCCCTCCTACAGATTTTTATACCCTTTGAAAATCTAACAGGCCCTTCCAGATTCGCATAGCAAGCTCAGAGGGCTTTTGAGTGCGAGAAGTAACGGCTTCAACAGCTATTCGAGAACGCTGTGCTGCGAACTTGCTGACGTGGAATACGATAAGTTATGTGCGAAGATAAAGCTGAGGCTGATGTAGAATATGTATAGGATAAGTTATGTGCGAAGATAAAGCTGAGGCTGATGTAGAATATGTATATGATAAGTTATGTGTGAAGATCAACATTTTTAAGCTGAGGACGTGGAGCACGCTTACGGTATGTTATGTGCTATGAAAGTCAACACTTCATCTTTGACGTGGCTACGACAATGACTACGACTACATACTTATCTCTATCTATTATGAGCATGATTCTTCAGCGATCTTATAGCTACATTGTCGCGGATATGAGTCAAATTGTTCACTTTCTTCGATCTTAGGGGGCAAGCTCCAAGGCTATACCTATGATTCTTAAGAATCCATTTGCTCCTCCTTATTCCTTCTTCTTCTTGAGATCCTAGCGCCTTCTTGTATCTTTCTATCAATCTAGGTAGCCTTTTTGATCATCTTGTTGTCCTTGTCCTTGTCCTACCGCTTAGGACTTCTACAACCTGTTGCGCCTTAATGAATTGGTCTAATAAAAAAAGCACCTAGTACTGCTTTGTGCACCTACTCACCTTGCGCCTACCGTTACCTACAACTAGCTTCTTTTACCATCTACCTCTTTCTAGTCGTGCTAGGCAAATTAATTCCTTCCCTCTCCTTCTTCTAAAAGAAGCAACAGCAGAATGCGAAGGTGTGATTGCTGTTAGTCTGGAAGGCCTAGAGGGTCTGGAAGCTCTCGGAGATGCGAAGAGTGGCCTCGACAACTTCACGAAAAACGTTTTCGGGTTGTGGTCGTGACAGCAACCGGAGTGGTCTGGCTATGTGAAGAAAGAAAAGAAGACTATTTAATCCACTATCGTCTAGTGCAACAACATCATTGGTCATTGAAGTTGGTTACTGTCAAAAAAGAGGGGAGGGCTCCCGTGAAAGAACAGGGAAAAACGAAGGGAAAACAAGTGGAGAGGCGTGGGTCCCTTCCCGTTCGGAGTCAGTGACCAATGACTGCCGACCTTTTTTTTTGAATTTTTTGACTCGTCACAGCGTGGGAGGAGCAGTAATGTCATTAAGTTTCTCCAGGGACATACAAGGAAGGAAAACGGGGGGCCTCCAAGTACTAATCATATAAGTAACCATGATAAGCGTACTACATTGAAGATAACTCTTTCGAACATTTTATTTTCTTTGCTAGTACAATTATACACAGGATGTACTACACTGAAGATAACTCTTTCGAACATTTTATTTTCTTTGCTAGTACAATTATACACAGGATGTACTACATTGAAGATAACTCTTTCGAACATTATACACAGGATCATGATAGAAGCACGACATATAATGTACATCAAATTTGTGGTCGGTCCTATTTGTTAGTATTGTAAAAGAGCTAAATAAAAAATCTTCGTGAAAGATACAATACATCAACAAAGTGGGTAAGCTATTAGATATCGATATCTCGACGCACGGCTTTATCTTTCGGCAAAGGGAGCCAGGCCGCGCCAATCAATGTCTTTTCGACTTGTTTGCACGCAATAAGTGCGTCGCACTAGATCTCGGTGTAGTTCTTTCGTTCATCTTCGTCGCACCACCGGGTGCTTGCACCTTAGAGGTAGACTGACAACTGAGCAGTAAGAATAGAGGAATGAACGGGAAGATGTACAACTAATTAAATCTTCTGTAATACCAACCCCACGAATGGGTACACTACTACTACTACCATCCGCTAGCCCGACTCCAGATTAAGTCGGATATTAATCTTTGATGATGCTCCATCCACTAGCCCGACTCCAGATTAAATCGGATATTAATTTTTGATGATGCTCCATCCACTAGCCCGACTCCATATATAAATTAATTTTTGATGATGCTGAAGACACATCATCACAAAAGTCAAGAACTTCATAGGTAGAGTACATCTACAACGTCACAACTATGGAATTTGCAGAGATTAACGTAGCACGCCTTTTCGGCTTGCGTGGTTCGAGTGGCATAGTCCGCGTCAGTCCAGGCTTGCTTCAGCGCGATAGAGATGCGAGGAACATAGTAGATCGCATGGGCCTAGCGAGTCAAAAGGCTCAAGGCCTTGGAGCGCCCGTCACCACCTCCAGCTGCCTCACCATTGCAGCGGAATTTATGGAGGCTAGTATGAGTATCAGTATCTATACTAGACAATTTTTGATTATTACATAGGTCAATATACTTGCTAGAAAATAGCCTTTTTTTGTTTTTTCTACCTTCCTCTGACTGGTCTTTGTTTTTTTAGTTAGGTCTGCTCCACCACAATTAATACATCTTCTGTCATAATTATGTATCCTCCACTTCTTGTTCGTGCAGTCCCGCTCCTGTGGGTCATCAGCTCCGTCACAGTGTCCAAGTGAGTCATCAAGGAATACAGGCGAAGATGTTACAGGAACAATGATGGCATGTCCAACAGCACAAGCGACGTGATGATTCTCTAATAATCACAATAGTCCTCATGTGCAACGGCTTTACCTATTAATCCGAGATATGCGGTTTGTGGTAGGTCTCCTAAAATTCGGCCGCAAGAAGCTGTTCGTCCAACTCGGAGAGGGGAGCTTGAACAAGATTCATTATGATATATTTATAATGATTGGGATCATTCCGATTTCTATATTTCACTGTTATAACATTGTGATCATGCTCGTGAGTTCGCCTCTGTGTAAGTTTTGCTTCAAAGTTGGCCGGTAGGGGTCAAACCTGAAGTACATGACCATGACCATTGTGGTGTAAACATTGTTCAATGATCAGCGTGGAAACATAGATCATTGCCGTCGAGTTTCTTTATTTTGATAGACAACATCAGGTCAACGTCTTCAAGATAAAGCTCGTGTAGGACAAAGCACACACAACTTTTTCGAGTCTCTACTTCTAATTCGACGGCGGATACGACATCAACAAAAGGGGACTGTGGGAAGCTGTTGATGCCTACTGCGTGTTAGATTTCTACGTTCATGAGTCACGCCAACGCCAAGGCGAGGGTCGAACCCTATTCGATCATGCTTTGTTTATGACTTTGACTCGGTACTGTACAGAGAGACTATACAACATCGTCCTCTCTGTACAGACTGTACATCATCTAGGTTATAGATTTAGAAGGTATAGGGATCGATGCTGGAGTTTAATTATGTGGCGTCTGATAGACATGCTTGTTTGATTATCCTGCAGCTTGAGCTGGTCCTGGTGCGATATTATATAATTGTATTTCAGTGCCGAGTGTGGTCGCCGACCACCTGAGATGAATTGTGGTAAACAGGTAGAAGTAACTAGCACACAATACAGCATGGGAAATATGCTCATGCTTCATGATTGTTTCAAGAGTCTGTTCTTGAGATTTGCTACTCCATCAAATGATAATCCATCATTCGTTCGTCATCTCTTCTACAACCTTCTAATCTTCCTCTTGAAAGTGTTGTGAATCCAGCTCAGCTTGCGTATGACAGACCTTCGAGGAAGCTCCTGGGATTCCTCTCAAAGCACTTTGGTCTGCGACAATACACACCCCAAGCTATGAAAAGCAAAACTGTTATCATTATCAAGTTTCTGAAGTAGGAAAGTACGATAATGATAGCAGATTTTGGTTTCATACAAACCAACAACTTCGTTCTCTTTGACGACTTCTTCTTAGACCACAGTTGCGCAGACACGACTTCGAGTTTGAAGAATAGACTAGACGCACAACGAAGCACTTCGACTTCGAGTTTGAAACGCGCAACGAAGCAACCTTCTAGTTTTGCTGCTCCATCGTGCGTGGAATTCGATGTAGTAGAAGCGCGTCACGGCGACCATACACAAGTTCTTGCTCAGAGGTATATGGATGTAGACCTTCAAGAGATGCTGGCTCAGAAAACCAAAGCAGCTTGCGCTGCTCATTCACCTTCTTCACCATCTAGGACGTCAGCAATTTCTCGACCACATGGGAAAGGACCACAAGGAGGAAGCACTACAAGATCAAAAAAAAAATTCCAAAAAACGACAGTCGAGGTCGATGGAGCAGGAGGTGGCGGTGGGGGAATATCAGTTTCCGATATTCCTGATGAGTTTCAGCGGTTGCTTGCCTACTTAGGAACATTTTTTTTGAAGTGAAATAGTTTCTTGAATTCTAAGGCCAATGAGATTGTTAAGATTTCCCTCCAGGCCTAATTCTGAGATCAAGGGTTGAATTCTTCCTAGTACTGCCAGATTCAATTCAGTGGACTTGTCCACCGCAATAAAGTTTTCAAGCAAACCCCTTCACCCTACGAAGCCCTCTAACCTAGTCCGATCACGGCAAAAGCAGTAGCTTTAAGGCTCAACTTTCAATGGTCATTGGAGTTGGTCAGTGAGATCGAAGAGGCGACCCCTTGAGAGAACAGGGGAAAACGAAGGGAAAGGGGAGAACTTTGAAGGGGGTCCCTTCCGTTCAGAGTCAGTGACCACTGAAGGCTGAGCTTTAATAGCTCCTCTCAAGGAGGAGACGAGGGCAGAGGACAGGAGAGCAAATCGGTGTCGGCGTCTTCTGCGTTCGTCAGGTTATGCTGATCTTCATGAACATACAGTATGCTGCATACTGATGTGATACTAGTACTCCCAGAACTCTATTTCTAATTCTATTTTTTTATGACGGTGAAATTTGGTTCCAAGCCCAAAATGGGCCTGAAAAAGTCAGGAGTCGGAAGCGCTGATGGTCGCTCCAGGGGGCCAGCATATCCGACGCGTCTTCACGTGTCCGGCGCCAGGTTGCAAACTGGGAGTTGGATGGAAAGCGTTGGTAACCAAATTTCACCGTCATATTCTTACTTGTGATTGATAGGACTTGAAAACTTCTTGTTCTTGCGGTAAGTACTAGATGAAGAATTAGAACAAGTATGTCGTGGTTCTTTTTACATGAATTATTACAATTTCTGAAGAACTAGAAGTATGTGGTTCTTTTTACATGAATGATTACAATTTCTGAAGAACTAGAAGTATGTGGTTCTTTTTACATGAATTACAATTTCCATCTCCTGCTAGCTTCCTCGACTTCACGACGAGAACTCTGCTTTTGTTTTTTTTTTGACAAAAGAAGCACAACAAGTTTCCTTTGTCTAACTACGAGTGCGACCACATCAAGACGATTGCAATACGCCACTTCGAATACAACGTATGGAGCAGGCTTTGGAGGTGGCTTTGAAGCATTGATGAGAGAGTTCCCCACGCAGCGATTCTCGAGAACGATGGCTCAGAGCTTTAGAAGAACGAGGCCGATTTTGTGAAGATAAGTATTGTAAAGAACTTCCTGGTTTAGGAAAGCACGACTCATACCCATTTTGATGAAGAAGAACTTCACGCTGTCGATGTCGAAGGAAAAGCTATTTTGGGTCGAGGAAAAGCTGTAGTGGTTCGATGCCACGGGAAACGAGAAGCAGGGTGGACAGAAACCCATCCCCATCGAGTTTTTGAAACACTTGCAAAGAAGATACAATGTGAACCACCATTGAAATGCAACGAAGGGTGACAAATCGTGACGAAATCTTAGTAGAAGAAGTGTCCAAAAGAGCTCTTTCGCAACTTCCTGAGGACGGAAGGAGGTGTTATAAGACATCCTGATCCTGTTTTCAATGAAGATCTGTTCCTTCTATCTTTAATGAGACGACATGTTGTTTCTTCTAAGAGATGTTGAGGTCTGTTCATTCTATTTGAGCCTCTGGTGTTAAAAGATATTTATGACATCTTCGTCTCTTTTCATTGAAGATCTGTCACCAACCTTCTACCTGTACCTGAAAAAGGTTGCTTGTTTAGGATAAAATTCCACCAAGAACGAAGGTCGTTGTCTTACTCCTTGTGCTTTTGTCCACTCAGTGGTAATAAAAAAAGTGGCTTGTGCTGGTACTTACTCCTAGGTAAAAATGGCAATTGTCGCTCAGAAGAAAGGTGGAAATAGTAAAGTGACTTCGACTTGTACTCTTTCTACTTTTACGACTGCAAAAAGGACGAGAATTACCAAGAACAAGAAGAACAGGAGAACATCTCACACAATGCTTGTAGTAAGTTGGACCACGAACGACAATTTATGCTGCATTTTCCGTCCGGAATAGGCCTTTATGTTTTTCATCTCTCGCCGTTGTCAGCATCGCCAAGTGCTATTCAAAACTGAATTCATTTGTAGAGATAATAACCCTTTCTACAACCTCCTCTTCCGTAACTACAACGTTAATTACACCAACAATCACAACAAGAACTTCTTCGTTACTAGTGGTCAGAGTTATCTCTTTAAGACATCATCATCACGCATACTTACTATTTCTGTTTGTACTCGAACTCGCTCCACCTCCAGCATTAATTTTAACTTTAACATAGACCACGACGAGCAGATAGAGAAAATGAAGCGTGCTCCATCAGCGATGTCTGATGGTACTCCAGGATCGGCGAAGAAAGCGCGATCTTCGAGTGCTATGGTGCAAGAACCCTCTTCGAGTAAGAAAACTACAGTCACCACTCCGAAAAAAGCTACTCCAAAAAAGGTTACAGCAAGTGGGATGAAATCAGAAACAAGCGGGTTGAAGTCGGCTAAAGAAGCGACAAGTCCTGCGATGAAGAAGGTATCCGCACGATCTTCGATGGTACTCCAGGATCCTGCGATGAAGAAAGTCAAGAAGACGACAGCAGCGATGAAGAAAAGTTCCGCGGATAAGGCGGAAGAGGTGAGCTCCAAACCGCCGATGAAAGCAATGAAAGCGGGTGCAGACAAAGATGGAGAGGCTACGAAAATTATGCTCATACAACATGATCTGTGAAGACGGTCTTCCACGAAGAGAGCCTTCGAGGATTCATGCTGGGACACAACAGAAACGATGAAGATCAACTTAATTAGTCAGAATTAAGCCACAATAAGAAAATATGTGGCCAGCTTTGTTCGTTTTCTACTTGAAAAATTAGAAAACTGAAGTTATTTTTCTTATATTTTTAGCTTTCTAGTAGCATGAGCTGAAGCCGATCATCGTCACTTCTAAGTCTACCATTAAGGCTCAACTTTCATTGGTCATTGAGGTTGGTCACTGACACCGAAGAGTAGAAGGCCCCTCGAGAGAACAGGGGAAAACCGAGGCAAAACAAGGAGATGAGAGGTGTGCTTGGGTCCTTCCCGTTCGGAGTCAGTGCTGACCTTTAATACCAAGAAGGAAAAAAAGGAAAAATTTGCTGATGCGCTGTATGGACCCTACGGAACCCCCAACACTCCGATTCCTTGGCCCTCTGTGCATCGTCAGAAAATATCAAGTTAAGAAACTCAAAGAACTACGAGTGGCCTCCTGGAAGTCGAACTTCTTGTCGTGCTCATGTCATGAGAGAGAGCAGTTGGCTTAGTGGTTTAGGCGTTGGCCTGTTCACTTATCAGAAACTGCTCAGAAAAATGATGAACGAGAAGGGATCAAACTCTAGCAAGACCATGACTAAATTCATTCTGATTTTTGCTTCTAATCCAGTGCATCCTCCTCCGTAGGCAGTCCTTTTAAGTTGGTTTCTTGGAACGTGGCTGGCCTTCGCTCTTTCCTAGACAAGCGAGCTAAGCAGTTAACCGACGTAGCTGGGCAAGAAAAGCCGGATGGTTTCGCTTTTTTAGAAACGAAATTGCAAACACTGCATGAGTATGGCATCAACATACAGTTTTTCAATCGGCAGGTCTTCACGGTATTGTTGATCACATGATGGTTCATGATAGATAGTTTTTTGTGCTTAGTCCGCAGTCAAGAAGTCACCCATAGGTAATCCTCTTAGAAGAAACACCATTGGCAGTAACGATAATTTCCTTCCACTCGAGGTACTACTACTAGTGATAGCTCCTTGCTTCTACTACTACTAGTGAGAGCTCTTTCCACTCGAGGTACTAGTACTACTACCTCTATGAAACCAAAATTTTTCTACTTCAGAAACTTGATAATGATAACAGATTTTCTTTTCATAACCTCTACCTCTACTACTAACTACTAGAAGTGAGTTGTAGTCTAAGTCTTACCGGATATGACGGAAGCATTGAAGAAATTGCTACCGAATTACACGGTCACCTGGAACAGTTGTTCAGATCCGGACAAGAAAGGTACTTGCCAGTGAGAAGTAATTCGGTTTAGCGTAACAGTGAACACTGAAAGGATCTCCACCCACCCATAGCCCCTCTTCCCCTGTGCATCAAAGTTTTAATTACCCCTCGAATGGGTAAACTACTACTACTACTACTACTAAAGTAGGTTCTAGTGTAGCGCCACCAGCAGCTCTAGGTTTCGTATTGTCCTTTTGGCTCTTCAGTAGCCAATGAAGAAGCTTGCTAGTTTTTCTAGCGGGCCCACACCTAACCTGCTAACCTAGTGCTCCTTTGTTCACTAGGTCAATCACCGCTCCCGGCGCACTCAACTGTCTTAAGTGACCCAGAGGACCCACTTTCTGACGACTTCACTGACCCAAGAATTACTCACTCGCTCACACCTTCCCCTCCCTCCAGGTTATGCGGGAGTTGCATTTCTTGCTAGAAATGATAGTGCGCACAAGCTGGAGGCTGTGAATCCGATACGCGAAGAATTCTATGCAGCGAGTGGCCAGGTCGAACGTGAAGGCCGTCTCATGCTTATTGAGTACGAAAAAGCCACCGTGGTAGCAGTGTATACACCGAACTTTATGGTAGCAGCGTAGTATACACCGAACTTTATGTTGTTCTTCTTGCTGTGGGCGTGATGGTGGTCGTCCTTCATGATGATCAGTCAGATTACTTATAGATACGTTCTTGTTCTTGTGGTACTTCTTGTGTAACACAATCTAGGAGCAGTACTAGGTCTACGTGAAGACGCCTATCAGCTTCACTTCAGACTGAAGACATGAAAATAAATCAAGAAAATCTTCTTCAACTTCCACTCAACACACTGCTAGCTACTTTCACGGACGCCATCACAGCATGTAAGTACATGATCTCTATACTACAGCATCCACTTCTAACGTATCTGGTGATGGATTAAAGCGTATTGACCATCGATGCGACGTCTGGGACCCATCGTTTAGAGCGTTTTTGAACCGTCAGACGAAACCAGTCCTAGCTATAGGAGATTTTAATGCAGCTCATCTGGATGTTATGGAATTCAAAAGGTGCTCGATTCACTCGGTCCTGGTGGATTGATGTGGTTCTGGATATTTTCTCGCGCTTTGAAAACAAACATCTTCATACTACATCAACAGGGAGTACTATCTAGCACTAGAAGGCTGTACTTGCTATCTAGCACGAGTAGTACTGCTTTGGGGGGCGTACTATCTACTGGCACGTACTACCTAGGCCTAGCACTAGAAGGTTATGACATAGTTGTATCTAGAACAAGAGCTCCAAATCAAGTTCTAACCTCTAGGACATTTGGAACCTGAATATCTCGAAGGAGGTGCCAAAGCAGGCAGGAACGACAGTTCGCGAGCGAGAAAGCTTTGGGAAAATGCTCACGGTAAATCTCAGTTCTTTTTATGGTAGATTCTTTTGTTGTCGTGGTAAGTACCTAATGAACACCATAACATTTTTGTCGTGGTAAGTCCCTAATATCCACAACATTTAACATAACATATTCAGATTGAGAACGCTACTTGTACCATCTTCAAGTAGAAGTATGACGTACCTTGCAAAATACGCAGGTAGGTTTTGATATATCGGAACTCGCCCGCGATACAAAAAAAAAAAAAAAACGTACCTGCTCCTGTATTAAATTGAATAATTTGCAACAGGAATGCAATCTGGTAGACAGTTTCAAGGCCACCTTTGGAACATACGAGACGAAAGGAGCAGCAGCCCTAGGCTATTTTTCGTATTGGTCGCAGCGCGCGAAAAACAAGGACAAAAATCGCGGCCTTCGTTTGGATTTATGCAACCGTGTTCGAAGACTCTCCAACATAACGCAAGTTAAATGAGTCAGTTCATAAGTTATAATAATATGACTGAGCAGTTCACATCTGTATAATGATAACTTCTACTTATATATGTTCCAGGGCTCAGGGCGGGAGGCCCCCCCCCCCCCGATCTAACTTTTTGAAGGGGGGGGGGGCCTCCGTAGGGTCGAGAAAGGGACCCTCTGGGCTTTACGGGATTTCTAGTCGTGCTTAATTGAG